ATATATCTTTCTGGTTCACATGCAATGCTTTACGCGTATGTATTTGTCAGGCGCAACAGATTACTCAATTCAAAGTATGATTTGCTACATTTGAAGTCACCTGCATCACGCGCAGCTGAACTCCGAGGCCTTCATGGTCTGTGCATAATTAATAGCTCTTTTATTTCGACAGATTCTTTTGCCATTCCATCGGTGAGTGTTTTGAGTAATTGCCTTTGGTGACTGAAATAATTGATAAATCAAAGCAGTAAAATAAGAAATCCGCATGCACTATATTTCAGGAGAAAAGTAACATAGTTCGCGTGATAAATGTAATTGCGATTAAACGATTATCTCTCATTTGTCTAAAGCACCGATGAAAGCGATGACATTGCAAGGAATATTTCTACTTGAAGAAATAACTTAGAAAGAATGAGAAACATAAGCGATAAGGAGAAGATAACTTTCTCGCGCATGAATATCAACGCACTACAAAAATAGTATTACAATCGCATACAGTTTGTGACCGTATTATTTGGATCCAGAGTAATTCCTATTAGTTTACGTAATTAAGTGATTAATAAAGATGGTTAACAGTTTAATTAATTTACTTGAATTTTTATTATAATAATTAGTGAAATTTTATTAACACTATGCTTTAAAATTTAACTAAACCGCTAAAGTAATAAATTATTCAATTTGTTAATTTAGAAATTTATTTAAAATTTTTGTAACGTGTTATAACTTTTGCAAGAGGTTAAGATTAAATGGTAGTGTCTTTATAACGCAGCTACTGCTTTCACGGAAACAGGTAATACACATTAGAGGAATGCAGTTCATGTTTTCATAAATTTCAAAACCGTATAAAAATTAAGATTCTTTGGCGTATGATGTAGAGAGATAGTGGGAAACTGGTTTCTGTATGAAGCAGGTTTCTGTATGAAGCAGAGGGAGTGGTAGAACAAAGCCATTAGAACATCACAAAATATAGTTTCTACACTCGCAGCCATTTTTAGAGCAAACAAATCATTCGAATCGTACAATCGATGAAGGAGCAGTTAAAATATAGTTATAGCATTTTATTTCCTGTTCCAAACAACTCATATGAATGCCGCCCAGACAGTATAGTGCAGGGGTTGCCAAAGAGCGGCTCGCGAGCCTGATACGGTTCTCGCAGGCAATTTGTGCGGCTCGTGCATATAAAATATATGTATAAAATATGGTAAACTGAAACTATTCAGTGCCCAATAGGAAGTAATTAATAAGTTTAGACTCTTTTGACAAAGTTATCAGGGTTTTCTTTTTATTTAAAATCTGCTCCACTACTTCTGTAATGATGTAAATATAAACTTGTGGCTTTTAGAAAATCTAGATGCGGCTCTCGAACATTCCTGAATTCAAACGTTCAGCTCTTACTGACATGAAGTTTGGCCAACCCTGGTATAGTTGTTAGCGGAGCCGGCTACGATACCAACGGGCCCGGGCTCGAATCCCGGAGAAGGCATGGTCGTAATTGTCCGTCCCTTCATATAGCATATACAATAGCACCACTGAGCAGGCTTCTGATCTAAGATTATCTAAAAGATTACCAAGCGGAATAGTGTCTGATCAGTGGAAAGTCTACTACCAGCTCCGCCACAGTCTCAGTTGGCCAAGACTGATCAGACAAGCATTAATTTAATATAATCAAGTTACAGAGTCACAATCCAAGATAATTACATTGTCATCTTTGCTTGAAGCAACTAAAAAACATTCAGAAATTATGATCTTAATACAATAGGAAAATAAACAGTTGTGAAGAAGAAATAAATTAATAATGATCTTGATCTCGTGCATAATTAAGGTTACAAAATCTTGTGATTTAAAATTACTTGTACAAAGGTCAAGCTAAATACAATTAAAACTCCAACTTTCGGCATTATGTATGTTACAAAATTATGAATTCAGTTACAAATCAATGATATACCGTATATTTGATACTTAGTTACGAATTCTCGCAGTTACATAATTTGTACTATTATATATAAGAAATGCTGTTATAGAAATCTTCATACGCTATTACAATGTTGCGCAGTTGCATGAGTTATAAAAAAAAAAACCCGGAGGTAATACACAGTTACATAAGTATTATGAAACATGGTTAACACTGTCAATCACACAAAACAAAACAACTCTACAATTTTATATACGAGCAATATGATACAGAGTATTTCAGACGTAAAATATGGAAGTATGTAATTACATAGGTAACACGATGATGCTTATAATTCGCAGTTACGTAGGCAGTTGCATGGATAATACACAGTAATATTTTCAGTAAATTAAAGTAGATTTCTACTATTAGTACACCAAGAATGAAAAACAACACTTATCAGTATAATAGCTTGCATTCATGCCATGAAATACCGTAAGAATTGAATGCACTTATAATATACACAATAATATGGATTATACAATCACATAGATAAGTTGCGTTAAGTAGAACACTGATCTTATCGCCACTATGAGAGCTCCCGACCAAAGGAATTAACCAAGCAGGATAATGCAACAGTAATTAAGTAGAACACTGGAGGCAAAGGTGGCCCACCTATTAGGTGCTTCCATAATAAAGTGACTACCACTTCTAGCCTTAGTTGTGGCCAAGCCGAAGTCGGATGGGGGCCCGCCATTGGGGAAATAAATAAATAAAAACAACTTATAGCATTAGAAGCCAAATGCTACTCAAATCCAGTGAGAGATTCTCATTAGTACCATTCTGTCGCCAAGTAGTTGCCATTAGTACCATTGCAGTACCATTTTGTCGCCAAGGTGTCTTTTATGCATGTAAACCAATATATGTGTTTAAGCATTGTATCATACAAGGTAACTTAAGAAAAACTAACCTCGTGCCAAATAAATTTATAACGGTCAGCCTGAAAAAGTCATTTTCTCTTCTTGTTCTATTGTTGAGAATCATATTGCATCACTTTCATTAAATGATAATAATCATAAAATTGATATATATTTAATAAGCAATTTTTGAGATTTTTTAGTGATTATCTACTGTATATATTTTACTTAAAAGTAATATTTAATGCTTAATAACGTCAGTCAGTTATGGTTTTCCTTTCAGTGCTTTCCTAATTGTGTTTAATGTACTATTAAAGAAAAAAACCTACTTTTTTTGTCTCAAGATCTTCAGTTCAGATTACGGTTTTTCTCTCCTTACTTACTCTCCTTAGAACCTTACTTACTTTCCTTAGAACTTACCGTAGAACTTTACCTTACTGTCCTTAGAACAGCGATGGGACTCAGTTGAAGAGGTTGGAGATTTAATCAATTGGAGACCTGGTTATAAGATCATTTTTCATTATATTTTGTTATCTCTTTTAAACACAGATTTAATAGGCTCCTTTTGGTAAAAGGCGACGTGCGAACTACAAACTAAATCGATGCAGAAGCACTTTCAAAATACTTCCTTGCCGAATATGAATTTACGATATTTTTTAAACGCTGCGAGAAGTAAATTACCATCCAACAAAACTTCATTTGAAAGAAAACTTGAAGGATGATTATTTTGACCTTTTCCTATTATCTTAAAATACAGTTATAATTCAGGCATGATTAAGTTTCACAAATTCCAGGTTTACTCAACATGCATATTAGTTTATGCTGCAGTTTTCCTTCTGGTAGGTTTGTAATATTTTTTCTGAGCTAACGACACCTGACAGACTTGGCCTGTTTCCTTTCGACTGTCGAAAGCCACAGTATGCCAGCCTGTATAGTTCATATTTTTCATTTTTAAACTGATATTATTAAAACTGATATAAAGTGAAACTATGTTGGACGTGACCCCAAAATCTTTTAGTGTAGTTTTCTACATGTGTATGCATTAAGATTTTAATGTATGCGCCATACTAATAGCTGTTTGCATACTTACCCTTTCATCATCATCGTAGAATGGTCTTTAAAGAGATACCGATTGATACTTCTAGCTTTTTATGATCTCCTCGAAATATTGTATTTGATTTTTTTTAATCCTTCCATAGTTTGAATTTTTATCCCACTAAAAAATCATTACTTCCTTTCGAGCTCGTTCTCAAGAAAGCCAGATCATTGTTTGGCTAATCTGAATGACTGATCTAGCTCGTGCCTTATCTTATCAGAGATATTCAATCTACAATAATCCTGGTTATTATGATCTTCATCGATTTAAAATTCTCCATTGTCTGTCAATATTACCGATAAATTTGTGTTTAGCTGACTGAGCAAGCTTAGGACGAAGATGCCCAGAAACCTTTCTAAATATATATATTTTTAAGGGCACTTTTAGGAAAAGGAAAGGAGTGAGTTTACTTTGTTTCAAACTGCAGCATAAGCTGTGCTTGTATTATCAAAACATCAAGCTTCCACTTCAAAAGAAAATTGCTTGCACCTCACAACTGTATATAGTTGTATGATCATAATTTCTGTTGTTCCGCTTGCATTGCATCCGGTACAATAGCTCTCACCGGAAGGACATTAGCACTTGGGACACGTTCGAAAGATTAAGAAACCTTATTATGAAGCTTTGTTGAAAGCTATTATGCATCAAAATTTGTTTTGATACAAAAGCATAAAAATGCATTTTCTAACGATTTAATTTTCTCATTGAACTCTTTTATAACTGCTGGCTTTTTCGTCGTCGTTTTATTCCTGTCTTTTAGACTTTTTTTTAATAAAAAACACAATTAAATACGATATTATAGTTGCTGCTTCTCCCACAAAAAAAAAAAAAAATTGTTTCTGGAGGAGAAAAACCTGTCTGATCGCTGACGAAATCGACAAGTTTTATTCAAAATTCACGAAAGTCTAAGATGGCTTTTTTTGTTTCATTTGATCAATTTTTAAAAAAGCAAGTTTGTTTATTCAAATGATACATTAAAAATTGTTTTTGTCAGCTTTTATGTTGTTTCATATTTTTTACTTTGAATCTTTTCTTGATATGTTTTAAAACATTTTTTGGAACATGTATTTCTAATATATTCATGTACATTTTTCAGGACCAGTACCACACTGTATTTCTTACGGATTCCGTTTCCTAGACTGGACTTCCATTGTGGGTGGCAAGGACGTTACTGGATATTTTTTAAAGTTTTCTTTTATTATAAATGAATAATAAATTGAATAAAATAAATTATTTTTATGTGTGTTTATTTTCGGATATTTGGATATATATTATACTTCCAAGCTTTCCTATGATCTCTTATCAAATTAATAATTATCTGTTTTCTTTACTTTTTTCCCCATTTAGCAGACCTATGTAGTTAAGAGATTATTATCATCTTGTTTATTTATTTATGTGCTTGAGAAACCCTCGGGAAGTATGCATTTTACTCGAGCGTTAAGTGTTGACAATTGAGTGATCTTTTTTGCTTCACGATAATGGAGTTAACGAAAACATTTTCTCTCTCATTTAATATACGTGATTATTTTTTAATTAAAAAGCAATTACCGCATTTATCTGGCTTAATTTTCCATTATCTTCTAAACAGTAATCTATTGTAAAGCTGTCATTTTTTATCTGAAGAATTAGAGGTAATTACACGTTCCAAAACGTTCATCCTTCTCTCGACAGGTCGACTGATTAATGATTTTTTTAAGCAGAATGCTCTCACTTAAGTGCTTTTATTTAGACATTCTGAAAAAGCCATCAACGTTTTCCGAGAATGCGGAAGAGAAATTTTACTATCTTATTACTTTTAATGTATCCAGTACTAAACTAATCTCGAGAGATTATAAAACACAGTTTATTTTGGTATATGGCATCCGAATATAATGAAACCAGATTTGATAACTAAATTCAGTTTTCTAATAAATAAACAGTATTAGTTCTGGTTAAAAAAATGTCACTTTCGTGAGAGTGTTGAAAATTTTTAAGTGGACGACAATAATAATGTTACGTTGTAGAATTTTTCTAGTTCAGACACTGATATTTCTGAAGGTTTTAAAAACCGTACTAACCAGGGTTTAATTTCTAAAATTAGAAGTGCTAAAGCCCTGTGGCAGGCCGTCAGTAATAGTGAATAAAAATTAATATAAGTAAAGTAGTAACAGATAAAACAATTAAATCATGAATAATTAAATATAAAGCTATGTCATTAATTTAAATAAATATATATGTAAACAATAATGAATCATGAAATAGTATAAAAATTTTAATGAATAATGAATGCTTTCTGCATGACCTTTAACAAAGATTAGTACATGTTTTCGGCAGATGAAAAAATTTATAATGAGGGTAACCAGGGCTGTTTATTTTGAGGAGCAAATATTCGAAGAAAGCATGCTTAGTTAATTATATATCTTCTAAGAGTTCAAGGCTAAGAATTTCGTGTTGACATTTCTTGAGAAAGAAACCGCCCAGATGCACATTACGGCCGCCAATTTCCTTTGGTAGAAATCAACTCTAGGATAAAATACCAGTGGTTAAGCCATGAAATCCACATGGATGCTGAAATACCATTAAGTCACGTGTGCTTCTGACGTTAAGTTTTAAGAAATTAAAAAATAATAATGATAATAAAGTAAAGAAATCCTGGTGTGGACACCCTATAACTTCCTTGTGCAGCCTATTAAATATTCTTTTTAGAACAAAAATAAACTGATATTAAATATTGTTAGGCATTTACAACAATAAAGTGATAATAAATATTATTAGACATTTACAACAATAAAGTGATAATAAATATTATTAGACATTTACAACAATAAAGTGATAATATTAATACAAACAATAAAGTGATAATAAATATTATTAGACATTTACAACAATAAAGTGATAATAAATATTGTTAGACTAACTACATATATAAACTGCTATTATATATGTAGTTAGATTTCGTTATTTGTTGATTTTTTTTCTTTAATTTGACATTCATTGCCCAAACATGAATATGCTCGTCTTTTGAAACATTTCTGTGCTTGGAAGTATATGACTGCGACCAACAATTGCGAAAATAAAGGGAGTGGAATATATGTTGGTAATGGTGGTCGTCTTAATTTTTGCTTTATATTTTAAAATTTAACGGGTTTCTTTTAGCACAATTTCAGAATTTTCGTAGGATGATGTAATCTACTTTCACTGAATTATTAATTTTTGATTCATACATACATAAATATCGTTTTCGAGTTAATCTAATCGGCTGATTGTTTTTGAGTTATGGGAGATACATATGTACGTACGTACGTACAGACGTCACAAAAACGTCCCTTTTGAATTCATTTTCCGATTAGGAGGTCTTTATTTTGTGCGTATCTACAAACATCACGCAAAAAGATCGTCCAAATAGATTTAGGGACAATCAAAAATACATATTTCCGTTGAAATATATCCGAAAATTTTCACGATTACAATACTTACTTTACTTCGTACAAGGAAGTAAAAACAAAGAAAAAATAAAGATGATGAAAAACAAAAGACTGGAAAAAGAAAAAAATATAAGAAAATTCGAACATTATATTTTCCTTTAAAAATAATAAACCATGAAAGCAATAACAGTGTGCTTTTAAATGTAGTCATTCTTTACAATAGATTTTTTGGCTTTTTACATTCTACCGAATTCATACATTAGTAGTTTCTCAGAAGGAGACATAATTTGACAATATGCTATCTAAATAGTGGTTTCAGTTACGTGAATACTTTATGACAGCATTGTATAGTATGTACTTTATTGACAGTATTGTACCTTGTACAGTATGTATACACCATTGTACTTTGTGACATTTTGTCCATTATTTGATTTAAAAGAAAGCATTTTAGAATTCAATAATTCCTATGTGCTATGTTTCGAAATTTGCCGAGGATACGCGAAATCCAGAATAATACCGAACACTATAGTTTCGGAGCTCATTTTATTTAGGGTTCCGGTGCAATTTATCTCACGAATTGAGAAGAATCGCGGGTGGACTTGTAGAGACATTAGGTAATTTTGAAGTAGGAGATATGAAAAATGAGCAACGCCTTCGCCGGGAATCGAACCAAGGACCTCTGGAATACGCGCCCAGTATGCAGACAACTACACCACGAAGGCACGCTAAGAAGGCGGGAGAAATACTTTATAGACTTCGGTGCAAATTAATATGGTCGGAGGTGAGCTTCGGTGCAAATCGATAGGTCGCAACTGGATGTACGTAAATCATGAGGCTAAACTGTTTGGGTAAAATTTGCCTTAAGTAATGCAATTACTAAATTTTAAAAGCAAACTTCACCCTTAGATGGAAGTTAATTTTAGTAACGGAATTATTTCGCAGAATCCGCTTTTTGCGACTCGAATCTTGTATTGAATTTTGCCTGCTATAAATAATAGTCTTAAGTAATCGGCTGTAGAGTTTTTTTTTTTTTTTTTTTTTTTTTTTTTTTGTTACTTCTGATTTAAAGACAATGTTAGGTGGACATAACGAACACTGGAGGTAATAAACACACAAATCTAATGAAACTTTCGTTTTAATATGCCTTTTACACAAAATATGCAACTAAAACGTAAATTTGCATGTCAAAAAAGTATTGACAATATCGTTCAGCAAAATATGATAACAAAATTTAGTACTTTTCATTCATACCTTTTGCATTTATAACAACTTGTAATCTGTTTCTCACAGAGAAAACTATGAGAAACAGATTACAAGTTTCTCATAGAGTCTTGGTTGTCTATTGAGAATTTTGTGCCATTATTGCAGGAGTATGCATTTAAGTTCATCTTTACTAGAAAATTTATGTTTCTTAACTTCTAAGTCCAATTTGTGCCATAAATTTTCAATTGGATTTATGTCAGGGGATTGAAGTGGTGTCTTTAATTGGCGAAGAAAGTTATAGAGTAACTACTCCCGGGTGAGGTTCGCTGTATCCTTAGGGTCATTGCTCTGTTGGAACACGAATGTTGTTCCCAAGCCAAGTTTTGGGCACTGAAATTCAAGTTATAGCGCAATATGTCAGTGTACGTACTTGCTGTCATAATACCATCAATGAAGCGCAGGTTACCAACTCTGTTTACTGCCATACAGCCCAAACTATAACGCTCCCTGCATCATGTTTCACTGTCGGGGTTAAATGTTGTTTTTCCAGTTCGGTGTTTGGCTTTCTCCACACATAGTGTCGTCCATCACTCCCGAAAATGTTAAACTTCGTTTCTTCGAAGAAAATAACCGTGTTCCAAAACTCGTTTGATAAATTAACATGAGGTTTTGCAAATTCTAATCTCTTACTCATGTTTGTTTCTGAAACGAAAGGTTTCTTTCTAGCTGCCCTTCCATAAAAACTACCTTCAGGTATAACATTCCGTATAATCCATACACTGAAAGTTTTATGCAAAGTATTAGCAACAAACATTTTTGGCTAACTGGGGTGCACTTATTTTAGGGTTTTTCTTAACCTCTTTGGTAATGCCTGTTTTCCCTAGCAGAAAATAATCGACGCCGTCCATTTCTAATCTTATTTTCCGTCTATCCTGTCTCATTGAACACTTTTAAAACACTTCTAACAGTAAATAAACTTATATTCAGCTGTATTTCTATAGCACGATAAGTTAAACCCTCATTTCTGAGCTAAATAATCACGTTTTAAACATTAGCATCCTACTACTTCGACTTCGAAGCCATTATATCACAGTTATTAGCAAAATAACGTTTTAAAGGTTTTGTTGTAGCACTGCAGACTTTATACTAACAGGGTTTCTTATCTCTAAACACGTGACCTCAACATAACTAAATTTGCATAGCAGTTAGAACTTTGCCAATACTTTTTTTTAAATGCAAATTTACGTTTTTGGTGAATATTATGTGTAAAATGCAAGTTTCGTTATATTTGTGCGTTAATTATCTCCTGTGTTCGTTATCTCCGGCTAAAATTGTCAAACATTTCCTTTGCTAGCTAATCTAATCAATTATAAGCAATTGCCAGTACTTTTTTTATCCACTGCACCTGACTAAAATACAATCATGGAATCATCACTGATAGTAAATAACCGTAAGTGTAAGTATTCAAGACGTTACATCAATTTGTAATTCTTTAATTACACCTCGCTATTTAAATATTCACAATTTAACTTGAAGATCATAATAATTTGGAAGAAAAGGATATTATTAAAAATTTAAAAGATATGAATCTGATTCGCGTTAATATTAACATTTCAAACACAAATGTTTCTG